CGCAGGGGTCCTGTGGGTGCCCCAGAGGGTCTCAGCGCTGCCCGGGGCAGGGGGCAGCCCGCCGCCGCCGCTGCTCCCACGGCTGCTGCTGCTGGCGGTGGCGGCTCCTGAAAGCTGCTGCTCGGGCTGCTCGGGCTCTGGCTGCTGGGTTCGCTGTGGCTGCTCGATCCCGGACTCTGCTTTCTTGTGCTCCTCGCCGACCCACTGGACCATTCTGCCCCCGTGCAGCGCGCCTCTCTCGCTCCCGGGACCTGGGGACTCCGCTCTGTGTGTGTGCAGCGGGCAGCGGCCGCAGCAGCTCCTTGATTCAATAGATGAGATGGAAGAAGAAAAAAAAGAACTCTCTCCATTTGGAGAAAGAGGAGGAGGGGAGGGGGTGGAGGGGGAGAGAGCGAGCGAAAGAGAAAAAGGCTGGAGCTCCCGCCCCTGGGGCTGTCAGATGGCTTGGGTTTCTGCGACGCGATTGGCTCACGGAGGGCAGAAATTACTCAGCAAACATGACTATTATTAGCTGCTTAGCAACAGCTCACCAAAGTAGAGAGACCACCCAGGTAGGCAACCCCAGTGTGTGCATCCCGGCTTCGGGGGGAGCCTCCGAGAGCGCCAACGTTCTCGCATGCAATACTTCCATTAAGGAATGCCCCCCCCCACTCTTTCTTTTTTATTCCTTTTCTTTTCAACAGTATCTTCTTTTTGTAGAGGCCTTTTGAGCGCGCGCACACACACTCACACACACAAACACCCACGAACATTTGCCTCGCGATAGACACGGGGGGAAATGTAATATTTTTTTAAGCGCTTAAACAATTTCTGAAATTCCTCAAAGAAAACCCTTTCAGAGGCACCTTGGCCTCAAGCTGCAGCAAATACTGGGAGGTCCGGCTTGAATTCCCAGGCCTGCACCAATAATGACAGGGTGGTGGATAGTACACCAGTATGTGCCAGATTTTTTTTTTTCCTCCTCTCTTTTCTTTTATAACTAAAGAGAAGACTTAGACTCTCGCGGGGAACAACGCCTAACATTAAGATAAACAAAATGGAAAGTTAAAGAGGAAAGTAAGGACTTTGGAAAAAGAAACCCTCTCTTAAAATCCAGTCCCTCGCCCCCTCCCCTCCTAAAAAAAAAAAAAAAAAAAAACCCACAGCAGCACAGTCCGGGTTTGAAGGAGGCCGGGTATCAGACACCGAAGCATTCTCATGGAGGCAGAGGCGTTTTTATTTGAATCTTTAATGTGATAAATATTAAAAAATAAAGAAAACAGAATCCTTTTAACAACCCAGAGAAACGGAATTGTTTCCTCGAGGAAGAAGTTTTCCTATTTTGGATTTAGACACCCTCCCTTTTATTTTTATTTTTTTTATTATTAACTGCATGTCCTTATTTATTTAAAGTATGTTTTAAACTTTTTTTCAAAAACTGGTACGCATCCTGTTATATTTAATAATAGCGTGACGTAGGGGACAATAAAGGCTTTGATGTTGGATTCATTTGAAACAAATTGTGGGCTGATTGCGAGGGCTCGTCGGATACCGCGGCCAGTGTCACCGAGGCTCCGGGGGCTTTGCTTCCCACTGGGGAAGAAAACACGCGACCCTTTGAGGTGGCCCCTGGGGCCCGAGTCAAACTGAACTGTCTACATAGCTCCCCTTTTAATTTAAAAATAATTTTTGGACAGTGGAATTTGTTTTTCTTACGTTTGCAAGTTAAGTTCCTCCCTGAGACAGGGTCCAGACCCCCAAACCTTCGGTTCTGCCTCATTTTAATATTTGTTTTTTTCCTTTTTAGAAACGGTGTTGAACTGCAGAGGGACCCGCGGCAACAAGAAGCCGACTGAAGCCGTGAAATGGGGCCGTGTGGCTTTAAGATGCACACGGTGTGTGTTCATTGAAAAAAAAAAAAAGAAGAAAGAAAGGAAAGAAAGAAACCCAGATGGAGAGAAAGGGGGAGGAGCGGGGGAGAGGGCGGAGCTCGCGCGGCCACGTGACCGAGGCCGGCCGGCGCGCGCTCGGCCGCCGGGAGGTCTGTTGCGCGCGCGCGTCTCCGAGTGCACGCGCCCGAGCTCCCGGACTCCCCGCGCCCGCGCGGCCCGGAAGGAGCAGGTAGGGAAGCCGGTGCGCTTGGCTCGCACCCGGCGGGCTCCCCTTCCCCAGCTGCCTCCCCGGAGCCCAGGCGAGGCGCGCGCCCCGCCGGCGCGGACGGACGTGCCGGACGCGCCGTAGTACATTCCTGAAGGCGGTCCGGCCCCCTTACGTTGCCCAATGCCCGCTTGGCTTCCCCGCGGCCAGCCAATGGTTAAGCGCCGGGGTCCCTTTCCATTCACCCGCCCCGCGGCCGCGGCCGGAGAGGGACTGCAGCGCTGCCAACCGGCCACCGGGTGGGCCCACGCGGCTCCCGTGGGGGGCCTGTCGGCTAGCCCTCCCCGCCCTCTTCCTTCCTCTTAAGAGGTCCCCCTCCCTCCTTTCCGTCTCCCTGCCTTTTTCCTCCCTTTCTCCTCCTCCCCTGATCTCTCGCCTCCCTACCCAGCCTCACTACATTCCCTCTAGCTTTTTCTGCTTCCTGCTCTCGCTGGGAGATCCTGCCCCCTGAATCTCGAACCAGCAATACGTGTGCGGCACGCCGGGCGGGGTAGAGTGACCTGTAGAATAAAGACAAAGAGGAAAAAAAAGTCTGGGGGTATGCACGAGACCAGGGGGAGGACCGCAGGACCCGGGCAGCGCGGAAATTCAAAAGTCAGAACTCCGAGGGAGCACGTGATTTTGTGTGCTGTTCTGGGAAGGGCTGCTGAAATCCAGAAGGGAAGACGAGCACTGTCCAATGAAAATGAGACTTCGTACTTAATAATATCGCAGGAGAAGTGGGCTCGACCATAGCAAGTTTAATCTTTGAGCAAAATTCTTCTCTTTATTATGCTTGATAAATAGCAAACAGCAGGAAAGGTGATTTACTCTGGCTTTTTTTTTCTTTTTTTTTTTTTTTACTGAATGGTTCTGCAGACGTTTTGTGCTTGTAGCTGAAAATCATTTTTTAAAGACTTGGGGGGTGGCTCCCCTAGTTTTCCATGTCAGTTTTTATATTTGAGGTATGCTGCATGTAGCCATGGACAGGTTGCTATGTTTGTCTTTTCAAATTTCTTTACAACGTTTTAGACCAAAATATTAGTTTTTCCTACCAACCTTTTATTTACAGCAATTTCAGTATGGCTGCTCGGATTGTGGATTCTAAAATGAAATTATAGGCTATGTACCCATCAAGGTTCCTTCCCCATTACTCTCCGCAGGCAGCTGCACATCCTCGTCCTGGCTGCGGCTACCCGGGCACCATTTCAATGGCAAATTCCACTCGGGCTCATTTCCCTCGGTTTGACTTAATTCCTAAACGTTTTGAACATTGATCTCCAGGGTTTTCAGCGCCCTGCGCCTGCTCACCCGCTGTTTGATAGGTTAACTTTTCAGCATCTCAGACAATGGTCCTGGCCTGTAAATTCTGCCCATTGGTTCCAGGGCGCAATCCCCAGCCTGGGCTCTCACAAGCGCTATCTTAATCTCCCCACCCCCACCGCCTCTTCCCCTGTGGTCTGCTTTTTTCATACACAGAGATGAATTACTTTGAGGATCTAATTGGCCTTGTTTCTGTAACGTTTTAAGAAAGGGAAGAGGAGCTAGTGTAAAAGCCTGCTCGACTTGGGTGGTCAGGGCTGTGGCTGCCCCCAATTTGCCTCATTGCTGATGCATGCGAGTGCGACATTCCCAGCGATAATGTTGTTCCTAACCAATCTGCCCTTATTTACATTTGTAAGCATTGTCGCCTTTAATATGCATGCCCTGTGCAGGGGACCGCTGCGCCACACCGTGTGTGTTAACTTCAACTAACCACAAGGATTCCCCGGACCTGAAATGAGGCTAGCTGGAGGAGCCAGGCCTACAAAGGTGTCTGCTGGAAGACTGTCCCTGTAATGGCTTTTCCCCTCCTGAGTTACCAAATAAGTGACAGCTCTGGGCCTTTTCAACCCGTCCAACCTGCTGGCTCTCTCTGGAGCCACAGTTTAGTGTTCTATCTCCCCTTTCCAAGTAAAGTTCATCTCAGTGCATGAACTGTCATTTTGGTCTCTCCATCTCCATCCAAGTCTTCATTGGAGTCTGTAGTTTTCAAAACAGATTCCTTCAACTCTTAACATATTCACTCGTATCCTCTTTCTCTGCTCCCAGACTCCAAACACCCATGGCCACGCCACACACACATCTCAAAAATGACCTCTGATTATCTGAAAGATGACACTGAACTAAAGCATCTGCCCCTTGGGTTTGGGCATTCCAATGGGAAGCCATTGTGGGAGCTGGGCTCAGTGGGGTAATGAGGAACCAGAGTGAGATTTAATTTTGCACTGGTTGCTCACATCCAACCCAATGGGTCTTTGAAATCTAATGTAACTTAACTCATTTTTGCAGAGTACAAATGAATAGAGATAAATGCGTTCTAGTAATTTGATCCTTGGGCGATGTTATAATTTTGTCTACCAATTTTAATACTCTTTTGCACAAATGCCAATGATTGCTAACATTATACCAAGTCCCATAGTATTCGTGTTGAGAGGGTGAGATGGGGGGAGGGATTTGGGGTTTGATGTAATGTTCTGTTTATGGATGGAGACTGCAGGATGGGTCAGAGCCTGAGCAGTTCAAAGCAGGTACCTTGATTAAGAGCTGAGTCTTGACTCAATTCAAGTCAGTATGCCACCAACCACCACATTTTCTTGGCTCCCTAAGAATGCCTTATTATCTTCTCATTGGCAGCTTTTGTATTTGCTAAAAAGGTGATGGTAGGAAATGAGTCTAAAAGGTTTGGGGGCAGATGGGGTAGATTCAGCAGCCACAAAATATAAAACCCCTAAGTATGACTACCCTCCCCTGTCCCCTCCCACCTTCTGTTTCCTCTCCTACTCTCTCCTCCTCAGAACTGGAGGAAAGGGAATAGCTCTAGCCAACTTGTCAAAATAATGCTGCTAATTACCCCTGATCTCCTTTAATGGGAAGCTGCTCCCAGTTCCACAAAGGAGTAAATGAGGGGTCTGCAGCACAAATCCAGGAGCACTGGCATTTTTTGAGCTGAGGGTTGGGGGCGGTGGCAGAGGGGAGATGTCCTGAGAAGGCCCTAGAAATCTCCACATTTATGACTCCAGGTTCAAACACTAGCTTGAGAAGCGGAATTAGACTTTATGCATTGCCAGAGCTACTGGTATTCTCTTGTTGGGAATGTCAGTCACCAAGTGCAAAGAAAATGTTCAGCGCCTACAGTGAACTTGAAAGAAAACATAGCATGGAGCCTTATGTTGCTCCCTCCCTTGTCTAAATATCTTCTTAGCCACATTACTTTACTCTAACGGATAGAGATGTATTCTGGAAACAGCCCCACTTTGAACAATTCTTTCTCCATCTCTCTCTTGCCTCATCTCTATCTCCCCATCTAATATATCTATATCAAGATTTGCATTTGGCAGAAGGCACACTATTCATTTCAGTGATCTCTGCCATTGGGTCTTGCATGAAAAAGAAGCTGAGCAACATGATCCCTTTGACCCACTGCTGGAGCAACAAATTTATTAGAGATATAGGCATGAGAAATGAAAGGGAAGTAAAACAATTCCAGCTTATTGTGTGTCTTTCTTTCATACTGCTAATCCGGTTTACACATCACGCCTACATGTCTCAATAGGGCTTTATATACTGTGGCAGAGGCAGGAGAAAATAAAAGGTGTGTGTGTGTGTGTGTGTGTGTGTGAGAGAGAGAGAGAGAGAGAGAGAGAGAGAGAGAGAGAGAGAGAGAGGAAGAAGGATAAACCAGGGGAGACGTATTTTAATCCACATTGATTTGGCTTGTCAGTTTTTCTATTTGTAGAAAGTTGAAAAGTTGAAGACAATTGGTTAAAAAGGCTTTTATTTTCTTTCACAGAATAGCTTCAAATGGTGCTACTATTCAAATAGCTTGTTAGATTATGACTAGATTGTAAGCAGAAATTATATACACTTCTTAGTGAGTCTGAAATGAAGGTTAATACCTAAGTTGAGAATGGGCCTATTGGTGTCCACCTGGATTCAACATTTAATATAAAAAGATCTTGGACTCAAAGGTGTCCTACAGCCTTGCAGAAGGCCGCTGGGTGACAGCTGGAACACACACACTCACACTAGAAAGCCCATGTTTTACAGCGTGGGTACACAATGCACCTGAGGCAACAATTTATCCCGAGGTGCCACCCAGAAATGATGTGACAGTGACAAAGGATGACACCAACAGGCATTGTCTCTCTTTGTGGAGGCAATTAATTGCATGTTGAACTAGGGGAGCCAAAAAGAGAAGAAGAAGAAATTGAACACACACAGAATGCTGAAAAGATACTATTGTAGTAGTTCAAGACCTCAGTTATCCAATTATTAAATATTTAGAGCCACCCACGTGGGTCTTTATGTATTTCCCCTCCCCAGGGAGGAAGGAAGGATAAAAGGGGGGAAATAATGCTTTTCTCTCCCGAGTCTAGGAAAATAGAGGTCTCTGGGTGTCTTCCACAGGCAACATCCCATAGGGTTCTTCTTAGATGACAGAAACTGAGACCTAAAAACTTGGGACTTACTGACCATCCCCACACTGTCATTATAAACATAAACTTAAATCCCCGGAGACACAGCACATGTCACCCCAGAGGTCCCGTGGGCCCAGCCTTGGCACTAGGTCTAAAGGAGTTTGAATGGGCCGGGCCTCCTCAGGGCTCCCTCAGCCCTCTCAGCACTGGGCTAGCGGCCCTCCTCTTTAATGGGTGGCAGGCACCAGAACCCGCCCGACTCTGTGGGTGATAAAGTCAACACACACCATCTCCTACCCGTGGCCCCTCCGTGAACTCGTAAAAGCCCCTCTGGCCCTTCTCCCACCAGCAGCGGCGGGGAGGGAGGTGTCTGAGCCCCAGGTTTTGGAAAGTGCCTCTGCCTCCCGGCCCGGGTGCCGCGAGCCGCGTCGTCCCCTCCAGCAGGTCTCCAGCGGCTCCCTGGGGCCCGGGGCGCGCCGCCCGCACCTCCCCCCGGCGCTGTCACTCCGCACCGGCCCGGCCACC